TGATGATGAAGGTGACTAGGACGATGACTCGGATGATGATGATGATGATGTTTATGATGACGATGATGATGATGATGACTAGGAGGATGATGATGACTCGGATGATGATGATGATGATGACGATGAGTCGGATGATGACGATTAGGTTGACGATGACTCGGATGATGATGATGATAATGGTGATGATGACTCGGGTGATAATGGTAATGATGATGATGACTCGGATGATGACGATGATGACTCGGATGATGATGACTCGGATGATGATGACTCGGATGATGATGACTCGGATGATGATGATGATGATGATGATTATTATTATGTTGATGATGACGCGGATGATGATGATAACTCGGATGATCATGATGATGACTCGGATGATGATGATGACTCGGATGATGATGATGATGACTCGGATGATGATGATGATGTCTCGAATGATGACTCGGATGATGATGATGATGATGACGCTGATGATGACTTGGATGACGAAGATGATGATGATGATGACGATGATGATGATGATGACTCGGATGAGGATGAAGATGATGACTCGGATGATGATGGTGATGATGATGATGAGTCTGATGATGATCATTATGATGATGATGATGATGATGATGACTCGGACGATGACTCGGATGACTCGGATGATGATGATGACTCGGATGAGGATGGTGATGACGATGATGACTCGGATGATGATGACTCGGATGATGATGACTCGGATGATGATGACTCGGATGATGATGATGATGATGATGATTATTATGTTGATGATGACGCGGATGATGATGATAACTCGGATGATGATGATGATGACTCGGATGATGATGATGCTGACTCGGATGATCTCTCGGATGATAATGATGATGATGACTCGGTTGATGAGTATGATGATGAAGATGATGACTCGGATGATGATGATGATGATGAGGACGATGAAGATGATGATGAAGATGATGATGACTCGGATGATGTTGACTCGGATGATGACTCGAATGATGACTCGAATGATGTATGATGATGATGATGATGATTCGGATGATTATGACGATGATGATGATGATGATGATGATTCGGATGATGATGATGATTTGATGATGATGATGATGATGATGATGATGATGATGATGATTCGGATGATGATGATGATGCTGATGAGGTTGATGATGATGGAGACGATGATGATGATGATGATGATGATGATGATGATGATGATTCGGATGATGATGATGATGATTTGATGATGATGATGATGATGATGATGATGATGATGACTCGGATGATGATGATGATGATGACGATGATGATGATGATGATGATGATGATGATGATGAATCGGATGATGATGATGATGATGATTATGACGATGATGAAGATGATGATGATGATGACTCGGACGATGATGATTCGGATGGTTCGAATGATGATGATGATGATGATGATGACTCGGATGATGATGGTGATGACGCTGACTCGCATGATCCCTCGGATGATGATGATGATGATGACTCGGTTGATGATGATGATGGTGATGATGATGATGACTAGGATGATGACTGGTATGACGATGGTGATGATGATTACTGGGTTGGTGCTGAAGATGATGATTCGGATGATTCGGAGGACGATGATGATGATGATGCTGACTCGAATGATGATGATGATGATGATGAATCGGATGACAATGATGACGTTGATGATGACGATGCTGAATGTGTTGATCATAATGATGATGATGACGATGATGATGCCTCAGATGATGATGACTCGGATGATGATGTTGAATGTGGTGACGATGATGATGATGATGATGATGATGATGATGAATCGGACGATGATGATTCGAATGATTCGGATGATGATGATGATGATGATGATGATGACGACTCGGATGATTATGATGATGATGATGCTGACTGGCATGATCTCTCGGATGATGATGATGATGATGACTGGGTTGATGATGATGATGATGATGATGAAGGTGACTAGGACGATGACTCGGATGATGATGATGATGATGTTTATGATGACGATGATGATGATGATGACTAGGAGGATGATGATGACTAGGATGATGATGACGATGATGACGATGAGTCGGATGATGATGATTAGGTTGACGATGAGTCGGATGATGATGATTAGGTTGATGATGACTCGGATGATGATGATGATGATGATTGTGATGTTGATGATGAGTCGGATGATGATGAACATGACTCGGATGATGATGGTGATGATGATGATGACTCGGATGATGATGATGATGATGATGATGATGATGATGATTACGTTGATGATGACTCGGATCATGATGATGACTCGGATGATGATGATGGTGATGATGATGATGAGTCGGATGATGATGAAGATGACTCGGATGATGATGGCCATGATGATGATGACTGGGATGATCATGATGAGGATGATGATGATGATGAGGATGATGATGCTGATTAGGTTGATGATGACTCGGATGATGATGATGACTCGGATGATGATGATGATGACTGGGATGATGATGATGATGATGAGGATGAGGATGACTGGGATGATGCTGATGATAATGACGATGATGATGATGGTCATGACTAGGATGTTGATGACTCGGATGACTCGGATGATGATGATGATGATGATGATGATGCTGATGATGATGATGATGATGACTGGGTTGATGATGATGATGACGTGGATGATGATGACGATGATGATGACTCGGATGATGATGATGATGAATCGTATGATGATGATGGTGATGAAGATGACGATGATGATGATGATGAAGTTGATGATGACTTGGATGATGTTGACTCGGATGATGACTCGGATGATGATTATGATGATGATGTTGATGATGATGATGATGATGGTGATGATGATGATGATGATGAATCGGATTAAAATGATGATGATGGTGATGATGATGATGATGATGATGATTGTGATGATGATGACGATGATGATGATGACTAGTATGATGATGATGATGATGATGATGATGATGACTGGGTTGATGATGATTCGGATGATTCGGATGACGATGATGATGATGATCATGATAATGCTGACTCGGATGATGATGATGATGAATCGGATAATGATGATGATGATGATGATGACGATGCTGAATGGCTTGATGATGATCATGATGATGTTGATGATTTTGAGGATGAGTGGGTGGATGACTCGAGTGATGACTCGGATGATGCTGATGATGATGATGATGACTCGGATGATGATGATGATGACTGGGTTGACGATGACTCGGATGATGATGATGATGATGATGATGATGATGATGATGATGATGATGATGATTCGGATGATCAAACGGATGATGATGATGATGACTCGGATGATGACTCGGATGATCATGATGATGACTCCGATGATGATGACTGGGTTGATGATGATGAAGATGATGAAGTTGAAGATGACTCGGATGATGATGGTGATGATGATGTTGACTCGGATGATGATGATGAAGATGATGATGATGAGGACGATGATGAATAGGTTGATGATGACTCGGATCATGATGATGACTCGGATGATGATGATGGTGATGATGACGATGAGTCGGATGATGATGATGATGACTCGGAGGATGATGCTGATGACGATGATGACTCGGATGATAACTCGGATGATGATGATGATGATGCTGATGATGGTGATGATTAGGTTGATGATGATTCGGATGATGATGATGACTCGGATGATGATGACGATGACTGAGATGATGATGATGATGCAGATGATGATGATGATGACTGGGTTGATGATGATCATGACTGGGATGATGATGGTGATGATGATGATGATGATGATGATGACTCGGATCATGATGACGGTGACGACGACGATGACTCGTATGATGATGATGGTGATGCAGATGATGATGATGACTGAGATGATGATGATGATGCAGATGATGATGATGATGACTCGGATGATGATGACGATTACTCGGATGATGATGTTGAGGATGATGATGATGGCTGGGGTGATAATGATGAGGATGATGTTGATGACGATAAAAATGACGATGACACGGATGATGACGGTGACGACTCGGATGATGATGATGCTGAAGATGATGATGATGAAGATGATGATGATGATTATGAGGATGACTGGGTTGAAGACTCCGATGATGACTCGGATGATGATGATGATGATGAATACCATGATGATGATGATGAATCGGACGATGATGATGTTGATGTTAATGATGAATGGGTTGATGATGATGATGGTGAAGATGATGATGATGATTATGAGGATGACTGGGTTGATGGTGCCGATGATGACTCGGATGATGATGATGATGATGATGATGATGATGATGATGATGATGACTCGGATGATGGTGATGATGATGATGATGAGTCGGATGAAGGTGATGATGACTCGGATGATGATGATGATGATGATGATGATGATTAGGTTGATGATGACTCGGATGATGACGATGATGATGATAATGATGATGATGATGATGATGATTCGGATGATGATGTTGATGATGATGACGATGATGATGATGAGTCCGATGATGATGATTAGATTGATGATGACTCGGATGATGATGGTGATGATGATGATGACTCGGATGATGATGATGATGATGATGATGATGACTAGGATGAAGAGGAGGATGATGTTGATGATGATGACTGGGTTGATGATGATTCGGATGATTCGGATGATTCGCATAATGATGATCATGATGATGATGATGATGATGATAATGATGACTCGGATGATGATGAAGATGATGACTCGGATGTTGATGATGATGATGACGATGCTGAAAGGGTTGATGATGATGTTGATGTTGATGATGATGAGGATGACTGGGATGATGACTCGAATGACGACTCGGATGATGATGACGATGATGACTCGGATGATGACGATGATGACTGGGTTGACGACGACTCGGATGATGATGATGATGATGATGATGATTAGGATGATCAATCTGATGATGATGATGATGATGATGATGAAGGCCCGGATGATGATGATGATGACGATGATGATGATGATGACTCGGATGATGATGGTGATTAGTATGATGCCTCGGATGATGATGATGATGATGATGTTTAGGTTGATGATGACTCGGATGACGATGATGACTCGGATGATGATGATGCTGGTGATGATGATGATGATGATGGTGATGATGATGATGAGTCGGATGATGATGAAGATGACCCGGATGATGATGGTGATGATGATGATGACTTGGATGATGAATCGGATGATGATGATGATGATGATGATGATTAGGTTGATGATGACTCGGATGATTGTGACGAATCGGATGATGATGGTGATGACTGACATGATGACTCGGATGATGATGATGCTGATGATGATGATGACGAAAATGATGATGATGATGATTATGAGGATGACTGGGTTGTTGACTCCGATGATGACTCGGATGATGATGAAGATGATGACTCCCATGATGATGATGATGAATCGGTCGATGATGATGCTGATTTTAATGATGAATGGGTTGATGATGTTGATGATGAAGATGATGATGATGATTTTGCGGATGACTGGGTTGATGATTCCGATGATGAGTCGGATGATGGTGATGATGATGATGATGACTCGGATGATGATGACTCGGATGATCATGATGATGATAACTCGGATGTGGATGATGATGACTCGGATGATTATGATGACGATGATGACGATGATGACTCGGATGATGATGATGATGACTCGGATGATGATGACGATGATGATGATGATGGAGATGATGATGAAGATGATGATGGCGATGATGATGATGAGTCCGATGATGATGATGATGATGATGATGATGATTAGGTTGATGATGACTCGGATGATTATGACGAATCGGATGATGACGATGATGATGACAGTCATGATGACTCGGATGATGATGATGATGATGATGACTGGGTTGATGATGATGACTCGGATGATGATGATGATGACTGGGATGATGATGATGACTCGGATGATGATGTTGATGACTGGGATGATGATGATGTTGATGATGATGATGATGATTGTGATCACAAGGACGTTGATGACTCGGATGATGATGATGATGATGATGATGATGATGACTCGGATGATGATGATGATGACTGGGAGGATGATGTTGATGATGATGACGATGACTCGGATGATGATGATGATGATGATGATGATGATGCTGATGACTCGTATGATGATGATGGTGATGAAAATGACGATGATGATGATGATGATGATGACTCGGATGATGATGATGATGATGATGACTGGGTTGAAGATGAGGATGACTGGGATGATGAGGATGATGATAAGGATGATTACTCGGATGATGATGGCTCGGATGATGATGGTGATGATGACTCGGATGATGATGATGATGACTCTGATCATGATGTTGATGATGATGATGATGACTGGGGTGATAATGATGATGGTGTTGATGATGACGATAAAAATAACGATGACACGGATGATGACGATGACGACTCGGATGATGATGATGCTGATGATAAAGATGATGATGATGATCATGAGGATGACTGGGTTGATGATTCCGACGATGAATCGGATGCTGATGATGTTGGTGATGACTCTTAAGATGATGATGTTGACTCGGATGATGATTCCGATGACGTAGATGATGATGTTGTTGATGATGACTTTTGTGATGATGATTTTGACTCGGATGATGATGGTGATGATGATCATGACGATGATGATGATGATGACTCGGATGATGATGATGATGAGGATGATGAAAACTCGGATGATGAAGATGATGATGATGATGATGATGATGACTCGGATGATGATGGTGATGATGATGATGACTGGGTTGTTGATGATGATGATGAAGATGATGATGATGATTATGAGGATGACTGGTTTGATGACTCCGATGATGACTCGGATGATGATGATGATGACGATAATAATGATGATGACTCGGATGATGACGGTGATGTCTCGGATGATGATGATGATGATGATGATGATGATGATGATGATGATGACTCAGATAATGATGGTGATGATGATGGTGATGCCTGGGTTGATAATGATGATTATGAAGATGATGATGATGATTATGAGGATGACTGGTTTGATGACTCCGATGATGACTCGGATGATGATGATGATGATGATGTTAATGATGACTGGTTTGATGATTATGATGATGAAGATGATGATGATGATTATGAGGATGACTGGGTTGATGACTCCGATGATGACTCGGATGATGATGATGATGACTCATATGATGATGATCACTCGGATGATGGTGATGATGATGATGATGATGATGATGAAGATGATGACTGGGTTGATGATGATGATGATGATGATGACGATGATGATGATGACTGGTTGATGATGACTGGGTTGAAGATGATGATGATGATGATGATGATGATGATGATGATGATGATGATGAACCGACATGGGGAC